CCCGTCACTTCGCGGAGGCAGCCCTGCCATGTACCACTCTGCGTTGTAGGTTTTATTGAAACGATACATTATGATTCATAAGATTACATCTGAACACACTCGTCTAGACGATTCTCTCGAGGGGGTAGATGGAGAAGGGACGGATTGGTGGAGGTTATAAGAATGAGGATATGTTCGGCTTCGACATATCGATGTTGAAGTTCCGTCTGCCTACATCGATGAAAAATTTTATTCGATATTGGGAAGAGAAGTTTGGGATAGGAGTTTGATCGTTTGTAGATTTTTTTTGAAAGTTTTCCAAGAGTATCCAACATTGGAGAAAAAAATTGAGATTTTTTGAAAATAAAATGTTTTAAAGTTTAAAATTAAAAAATTGAATTTATGGGGAAAAAATTGACAGATTTGTCAACGTTAGTCAGTGAGTGGATTAAGGTACTGGGGACACGTGGGTCGTGGGTTCAAATTCATGTGCCGAAAATTTTTCAATTCATGTCATTGTTTAAAAAAAAATAGACAAATTTTAGTGTTAATGAAAAAATATTAAAAGCTTCATATGAAAAATTGTAGAGCCTGGGAACCTGAGGGTAACGGATTCAAATGCACGTGCAATAAATATTTCAATTCGTGCCATTGTTTAATAATAAAATTGACAGAATTTCCTAAAAAGAAAAAAAACATCGATACCTTCATAGAAAAAAATAAACGCTTAATTCCAAAAAATTGTACAGCCCCAACCGAAGGGTCACGGGTTCAAATCCACGCGCCAGAAATATTTAAATTCATCTCATCGTTAAATAAAAAATTGCCACATTTTCCTGCGAAAAAAACGAAAATATTGCAAGCGTCATAAAAAATTTTCAATATCCGAATAAGGAATTGCAAAGAAAGACAAAAAATCGTTAAAAAAACAATTACAAAACAATTGTCCAAAGAAGGAAGTAAAAGTGGAATATCCGGATGCTGACATAAAGTAAAAATTTTTCATCTATCCCCACATATAATACAACACTGGGTATTAGACGGGTCTCCCGCGGTGTGTACTTCTCCTCGCGTTTCTCTGGTGTCTCTCCAGAATCACCGAGTAGACGGAATTATGCTTTCGTGCTGGCGCACCGGCCGACTCAGTTGAGACTTACGGCTCGCACCGTCAACACACCTCTCTGTTATAAAGTATTCACGAGTACCTAGATCAATCATCACCACGAGTCGTCCACCCGAATTTCCTTCAACCGATAACCCCCAAAACGAGGGAAGAGCCATTTCTCCAGACGGGGAATCCCCGATTTTTTGTGAATTTCGGCGCGACTTGATGACAAAAGATGACCTGAGACGTTTGAATCAAAGAAACTAAGGAATAAACTCCCGCGAACTATAACTATCGACCCAAGTGTTAAAAATCAATAAAAATGTTTTGTAACCGTGTAATTCTACCGCTGTTGCTGATCACCACGTGTGTCCGGTGTCACCCAACACCCCCAGGCGATATCCAGCAGCACCTCCTAAAGACAACGAGCCGTCTCCGAAGGAATTCCAACGAGCCCGAAGAGCAAGTGCTCCCTTTCAGCCCCCGAAGACTCGAAAAAATGCTGGAAAAAGCAATCCTCAAGATAATAACCGGTGATTTAACCAACTCCAACATGCATCTCCTGAAGAGTCTCAACTACAGCCTAGAAGAAGTGCTGGCAATTCGTGAACGAGAGTTGAATAAAAAATTACCGCAAGATCCTCAGCCCGTGGTGATGGAAAAACCGGCTGGCAAGGAGATCCTAGTGGTGAAAGGAGTGGACAAAAAATCAGCCGAGATGATGGACTACGAGGCGTACAACAGAAAAGCTGTCGAGGATTACGAGAACATCGGTAATAAGATGGAGTATGCAACACCGTTGGATTACGATTATACGATAACACGGGAGAGGAGAATCGAGGACAATTCTAACGGTGGGTTTCATGCTAATTTTGATCGGGTCATGGAGCCCCACGTGGTCTTCAAAATTCGGTACGATGACGCCGACATTGACTCGAATTCGTTTGAGCAGAGCACTGATTTCATCGAGGGAATGAAGATTTTGGGAAAGGCTTCTCCTGGTGCTGCGGCACCTGGAGGAGCTCCTTCGGGGCATCGTGCAGGGAATCCTTCAAATACAGCGACTGCTTCTGATGTCGATCCCTCGGCGATCCCGGAAGCAACGGAATCAACAACTGAAGATATCGGACTCAACGTCAGCGGTGACAACGAGGTTGATGGCAGGCCCTCGTCAACCAAGAGGATCAGCGAGTTCGAGGGCTTGGAGTGGGTCGAGGATGATGTTTATCGAGTAATACCAGAAGCCCTCAATTACGAGCTCAATAATTATGAGGAGGAGAATGAGACGATGGAGGCGGAGTATCAGTCTGGGAATTCGTCGATCGAGGAGATGACCAATGACTTTGAGTATCAGGAGGATTCCTGGATGGAGAATGGAACCGCCAGAAATCTCACGGATTATCAGCAGCTGGCTGCGGCACATCGAAGAGAGTGAGTTATTTTTTGTTATTTACTTTGGTTTATCGAACTGATGTTGAAGTTTTTGGTAATTTCAATTGGCAATTGATTCGTGGGGAGAGGAATGTCTCTTTAGGTCTCATTTTTTCGTGAATTCTTGTCGAGATGATGTCATTTTTAAATTGATGGGGAAAATTGATGTTTTTTGGGGGATTGTATTCAGTCTGGATGGATGTATTGAAATGATTATTTTCTTTTTTTTGGGGATGGTAGGAGGAATCAATCCGTCGACAGGTAAGCTTTGCGGGCGATCGGGTAAGGGCTTTTGCTTGACTTTCCGAGTGATTTTGTGGTGTTTAAGTCAGTTATCAACTACTTGACCAGGAAAAAATTTGTTTTATTTTTCATATCCTTTGATTGTTTTTGCTGTGAACACTTTTCTACTTTTTTTCATGAAATTCTCTGTGAAATTCTTCGGTTCATGAGGAAAAAGGGAAAAACGGTTCAGATTGATTTGACTACTGATCAGTTTTCAATGAATATCTCGGAGTGCAAGGCAGATACCGAAATTTTTGTCAAAATATTTTTTGCGGAGCGAATTGAGAGCTACAAAAAAGGTTCTAACAAAAATTTCGCTATCTCCCTTGGATTCTGAGATATTCCTTATAAAACTCAGCTAGAGGTAAGTCCAACTAAAATCGTTTTGCCGCTTCAATTCATCGGAAAAATTTATAATTTCTAAAAATGTGAAAAATCCTCATTTTCCTCATCTTCACCTTCAATTCCAACATTTATTTATCTTTCAACCGTTCGCAACGCTTCCCTCAACCATCAACAAACGAATCACTCCCACCAGATTCCCCATTGTTTATATTCCGTCTTCCAAAAACATACTGAAACACATATCGACCTCCTGGCGTGACTGAAAACGTTGAACCTTGAAAAAATATGGTAAAAATATCCAGAGGCGAATCTTACACGCGCACATCATCAATACCCCCCAGCCTCTCTAAGTTATCGTCCAATTAATTTCCAACTTTTCTCAAAATTGCATGTTTTCAAAAAAAAATCAACTTCTATTTTTTTTCATTTTTCAATTTTTTTCTCTTTTCTAGTTCTTTTCATAAAAATTTCATCACCCCCCTTCCCCCTCAACCCCACTGGCCCCCCTTACACCGCAGTGAACCATGAACTTCCAATTCATTTCAAACTTTTTCAAAAATGTCGCGTTTAAAAAAAAATCCACATTTTGATTTTTTTTCTGTTCATTTTTTTTTTTTT